TCTCCTCCCCCCAGTTCTGTAGTTTAGGTTCAGCCTGTTTTTGTTAGTTCTTCCTTCTTCCTTCACGTGTTACTAGGGAAGGGAATACCAAGGAGACTAGCAGGGAATCCCAGCGCTGCAGGGAAGTGGAAAAACACGCTAGAACAAAGCACTGGCAAACCATTTCTTCTGTCTACATGGGCATCTCCATAGTTATCTGAAAGGGCGCTCAACCAGAAGGAGGAGGCTGACTTTAGAGAGCTTTTCGTATGAACTGGATCCTTGAAACTGAAATGGAGAGCAAGGTAGCTATATAGTTATCAGCTAGAAATACATACTACCAGCAGAGCAGCGGTGGGATTCGATTTTTTTTTAAACTACTGGTTCTGTAGGCGTGGCTTGGTGGGTGTGGCATGCGTGGTGGGCGTGGCAAGGGAAGACTACTGTAAAATCTCCATTCCCTCCCCACTCCAGGGGAAAGTAACTGCAAAATCCCCATTTCCTCCCGATCAGCTGGGACTCGGGAGGCAGAAAATAGAAGGGAGCGGGGGCAGTCAGAAGTGTTATTTGCCAGTTCTCCAAAGTATTCAAAATTTCCGCTACCGGTTCTCCAGAACTGGTCAGGACCTGCTGAATACCTCCTCTACAGCAGAGGCGGGAAATACGATGAACCCCTTTGTGTGACGGCTTTTGAATGTGCATTGATGAAGCAAGTATCAGCAGGTTTTCAGAAGCTGAACGGCTGCATTTCCATCCTGAAGAATAGGATTTACAGGTAGTCCTCGACTTATAACTGCAGTGGGGACCAGAATGGTGATTGCTGAGCAAGACGGTGGTTAAGTGACTCACACCTGATTTTTATGTCCTTTTTGCTGTGGTGGTTGAGCGAATCACTGCAGTTGTTGAGTGAATTGTGCGGATGTTAAGCTAATCCACCTTCCCGCATTGACTTTGCTTGTCGGAAGGTTGTCAATAGGGATCACATGACCCCAGGGAACGGTAATTGTAGTAAATATATGCTTGTTGCCAAGTGCCTGAGTTTGATTACGTGATTATGTAAATGCTATGGCAGTCATAAGGGTGAGGATTGGCTGTAAGTCACTTTTTTCAGTGCTGTTGTACCGTCAAACGGTCACTAAACAAATAATCATACATAACGTGAAGACTATCTGTGTATCAAAGTTAGGGATTTTGCTAGGGCAAAAACATTGTTCCTGATTCCGTGTCTCATCATGTTTCTTGGTACCTTGATAACCCACTTTACAAGGTACTAGAGGCAGTCCTCAACAGTTATGACCACAATTCAGCCCAAAATTTACCTTTATTAAGTGAGAAATTTGTTTTTAAGGGAGCCTTGCCCCATTTTACGACTGTTCTTGTCGCGTTTGTTACGTGAACCACTGAAGTGGTTAAATTAATAACACGGTCGTTAAGTGAATCTGCCTTCCCCATTGTCTTTGCTTGTTGGAAGGTCGCAAAAGGGGATCATATGACCCTGGGACACTGCAACCGTCATAAATAGGAACCCGTCGTCAACCATCCAAACGTAAATCGCGTGGCCATGGGGATGCTGCTCTATGGTCATAAGTGTGAAAAATGGTCCTAAGTGACTTTTTTTCAGTGCCATTGTAACTTCCAACTGTCACTAAGTGAGCTGCTGTAAGTCGAGGACTACCTGCATCCTTATGGTCTTGAGTTAGATTAGGGTGCATTCAGTATGGTAACACTGCTTAATATTTTGAAAATTGAACAGAATTCAATTTTACATCGTTTTGAATGAGTTATTAGAGTCTCGTGAGATGGGAGGCTATAGATATTTATACATAGGTAAAGGTAAAGATTCCCCTGGCACATACGTGCTAGTCGTTCCCGACTGTAGGTGGCGGTGCTCATCTTCATTTCAAAGCCAAAGAGCCAGTGCTATCTGAAGATGTCTCCGTGGTCATGTGGCTGGCATGACTAAATGCCGAAGGCGCACGGAACGCTGTTACCTTCCTGCCAAAAGTGGTTCCCATTTTTTTCTTCTTGCACTTTTTACATGCTTTCGAACTGCTAGGTTGGCAGAAGCTGGGACAAGCAACGGGAGCTCACTCCGTTATGCGGCGCTAGGGATT